GATATCGAGTGCTCACTGAACTGCTTTTTTCGCTGAACGTAGCCAATTTAACTGATAACATGCAAACGTAATATGTATATGATACGTACACTCACATTCCGATTAATACACAAAAATTCCGATTCGTACTTACTCTCAAAACGATTGACTGATTCTGGTAAATTGTGCTCAAGCAACCACTTCTCCACTTTTTCTATTTCTTTTCACGATAAACAACACTATGTATAGTTTACTCGGACACAGAACTCGCGGATATGTCAGGACACGATACGGTATATAAACATAATACGCGCGGGCTTGCACATGCGTAAACACGAAAGCGAGTACCATTTGTTAACCAAGCGTCGACATATTTTAGAATATTTTCTTTATTTCAGATATTATTCTAAACAAGATACATCTATAAAGGAATATTCTAAATATGTTAAAATATTCGATTAGAGGATAGCTTTAAACGGAATTATTCTCTAATACAGAATACGATTTTTTCGGTGTAGAATTATTGAATAGACGAGTGTTGTATTATGATACAGATTCCTGTATATAGGGTAGACCTAGGCGAATCGGATCACAGGACGAATCGGATCAATATAAGCTTTCAGACGATTATCATTAATTTCTTGTTTTATGATGCTAGTTACTTCCGCGCATTTCTTCTGTACCGGAAATAATGAATAACAATTCTCTATTGCGTCATGATTCGTGATTTATCGATGATATAATCGTAGATGTCGTGAGCACGCGAAAGAGTTTAGTGTCTGATATAAAATCATGTTAATTTTGTAATTTTGCTACGAAAAAGTATGTTGAAACTTATTCAAATTATAATAATTTCTATAGCGTATAGTTTGCTAAATCAGTCTAATGAGTAATTCAAACAATGTTATTAAGATAATTTTGAGAAAATGAGTATGTTTTATAGAATCAATATTGGGGTTAATCCGATAACCTCTTTCGGGGCGATTCGGATCATAATATTTTTCGACAATTATAGCTATTACAATATAACTGCTCTTGTTTTGTTTCCTAGATGGTTCGAACATACATTCGTAAATCAATAAATAAGGCATGATCTCAAGAAACAATGAATGAAGCTGTGCAGAAGATTAAGTCAGGAAAAATGACTTTGCGTCAAGCTGTTCAATGTTTTGAGATTCCGTACACAACCTTACAAAGGCGAATTACTTCTCCTAGAGGTGTTATTAAACATCGTGATGGACAGCCCGTCATGGATATAATAACTGAAAAGAAGTTTGCTGAGCGTTTAATTTATCTGGCTAATCGAGGATTTGGTTTAACTCCCAAAAATGTACGAAAGTATGCTTACGATTTTGTTGTTCGTTGCAATTTAAAACATAATTTTAATACCGATGCAAAGATAGCAGGAGAGGACTGGTTTCACAGATTTATGTTTCGACATAAAGACATTGCTATTAGAAAACCATAAGGTTTGTCAAGAGCAAGAATAAATGGCATGCAAGAAGAAAAGGTTAAACATTTTTTCAAAGTGCTATAAAAAGTTATTGATGATAATAATTTGCAAGGAAGGCCAGAATGTATATATAATCAGGATGAAACTGGTCTGCCATTGAACAATCGTCCTCCAAATATTATCGCACAGAAAGGACATAAAAATGTCATCAGCATGACTAGCGTTGAACGTGGCGAAAATGTGACTGTTTTAGCATGTATGAATGCAGCTGGTCATTTCATACCTCCATTTGTTCTTTTCAAAGGTGTGCGTAAACGAGATGATTTTATGATAGACATACCTCCTAGAACAGAAATTTTTATGACAGAAAAAGGTTGGGTTACAGAAGAAGCTTTTAAAGCATGGTTGAGTCATTTTAATCGATTCCGTACAAAAGGAAAAGTGATTTTGATTTTAGACGGTCATCTATCCCACACTAACTTGACAGTAGTAGATTTATGTGAAGAATCCGACATTGAACTCATACTCATTCCACCACACACATCACATGCAATTCAGCCACTTGATGTTTCCTTTTTCAAGCCCTTAAAAATTTATTATCACCAACGAGCAATTTCGTGGCAACACAGCAACGTCGGTAAAGGAATAACCAGAATCGTTTTCGGAATTTTATTGAAACACGCCTGGAATTTAGCTGCTTCTATTAAGATTGCTACAAAGGGATTTGAAAAGATTGGAATATATCCTTTTAATCCTCATGCTATACCGTCTTATAAGTTTGTGTCATATATAATTCCAAATGATGATTTGGATTTCATTAATATTTCTGCAACAGAGAAGTCTTCAACTAGTAACTCTCAAAACAATGTTATCGTCGATCCGTCATCAACCAGTATTGACACGCATGCCACTGTTGGAGATGATGTGATTGCTACGACTATAAAAAGTTTACTTCCAACACCACACACAGAAAAACAAATACCTGCAAAAGAACTAGAGTTGCCAAGAAATTGATTTTACATTTGACATCTCCTGAAAATAAGGCCAATGCTTTAAAAAAATTGCAAAAGAAGGCAGAAAAAGAAAACAAAGTAAAAAATAAATGAAACAAAAATTCTTCACAAAGTCAATTAAAAAAGGTAAAGCGACACCAGGAATCAAGATTAAGAACAAAAGTAATTTACATTGAAACTGGTACTGCATTTATTGCAATGAAAAATTCGTTCATCCACCTGCCCAAGACTGGATTCAGTGCAATAAATGTGAAGAATGGCGTCATGAAAGCTGCGCTGGTAGGAAAGGTGAAAAAGAACCATTTACTTGCAAATTGTGTGTTAAATAAATTATTTTCATATAATATAAATAATTATTTTCAAAAAATTTTTATTTCAAAGAATAGTTTATTTTTTATGTAAAAATATTTTATTTCAAAGAGTTTACCGATTTATTTTTATGTTATTTAAACTTAAAATGATGATCCTATACACCCCCCAATTTTGGGGTGAATCGGATAATTTCTTTATTTTAATGTTGTTACTACACAATAAAAAATAATATGTGTATCGATTACACAGGCCTGCAAAATTGGAGGTGTTGAAAGTTGATTGGGAGTTAACTATGTTTTCTTACGTAATTTTTCGCGCTGAATCCGAATCCGGCTGCAGAATTGCTCTATCACGTCGAGATTTCGAAAAATCTTAACCCAAAACAGCCAAATAAGCCATTTTCAGTCATATTTGAAATTCAATTAAAAATTGATAAAATTTTTGTCGTCTAATCCATCGATGGTATCATTTACTACTATACGGCCCCTTCAAAATCCATTTTGGACCGTCCCAAAGCAATTTTTTTCCGGAGATATAGCAATTCGAATTTCGATAAATTGTATCTCGTAGAAGCCTAATCTCTATACCGTTGTATTAGAACAAACGGTATTTCTGGACAAATTAGCTTATTCTTTTATCTTTTGTCACAAAATATTTTTAAATCTGCGAGAATTGTTATACTCCAAGCCATTGATACACATTTGACCCCCGGCACCACGGAAAACCCGCCCCACCACTTTTACCCCCACCAAGTAGAAATCTCGACGTGATAGAGCAATTCTGCAGCCGGATTCGGGTTCAGCGCGAAAAATTACGTAAGAAAACATAGTTAATCTCTGCGTAATCACACAAACATTTTGTGTCAAAAATGTTTTTCTTTGTGTGACTACACAGAGATTATCTCGGTGAAAAAAAAACGTACGGCGTTAAAAAAATATATTTTGAAGATAAATGTTGACACTATCAGATGACGTAAACGAAAGTAGAAAAAGAAATTTACTTCGCTAGCAAAAAAATCACAAATATGTCAAAAAACGTCAATTTTGACACCTTTAACCTCACTTTTCTCAAAAACCTGACGTGATAAAGCAATTCTGCCGCCGGATTCGGATTCAGCGCGAAAAATTACGTAAGAAAACATAGTTAAATCCCAATCAACAAAACCATGCAGGCCTGAGTTATTATATTATATAAAATTAAAGTCAAAGGTCTAAAGATTCAATATTTATAATAAAACTTAATAATATAATATGTTTCTTACTACTCTTTTTTACCGATGAAGAAAAAGTGATCCGATTCGCCTCGGTCTATCCTACATAAGTACAGACGATCCGAACGAGTACGAACTACGTACGGGCAATTTTTTAGGGGATATGATCGACGAACTCGAGAGCTACGGCCGCGGTAGTTATATCGAGTCGTTCGTGTCGGCTGGCCCGAAATTCTATGCGTACGCGTTGTTCGTACACCGGAAGATCGCCTGCATGAAATTTGTAAAGTAAAAGGAATAACGCTTAATTATAAGAACTCGCTTAGGGTAAATTTCGATAGTATTAGGAGATTAATAATAGAAAATAAGAGAGAAAGGTACGGTATAGAAGAAGAAGAAGAAGATATTTCACGACGTAATATAAATCTGCGTTTTAGCGCAATCCGTCGCACAGCGTTTCACGAGATTGTAACACGAAATGAAACAAAAACGTGCACACCGGTATTGGTAAAACGAAGATTTATTAATAATCGTTATTCTCTTCCCTACGGTTTCGTGAGCGAATAACGTTTTCATCTTCTTCTTCTTCTTCTTCTCTTCTTCCTCTTCCTCTTCCTCTTCCTCTTCCTCTTCCTTTTCCTCTTCCTCTTCCTCTTTCTCCTCTTCTTCTTCTTCTTCTTCTTATTCGAATCGGTTCTCTCTCTTATTTTTAAGTTTGGAACGTTAACGAGTTTTCCGGCCCGAAACACTTATTATAGTTTAAGTATGGTATATAAGAAAAATGTGTAAAAATATTAATGTCAGCTATGTAAAATAAAATGTCAATATTTTTTGTGTGAAACCTTTTTTATTAACTTTATTATTAAGTGGATTAATATAAAATGTATATATCGTGTTTGTAATTTATAATTATGATTATATATATAATAAGTCTAAGTAAAATCTATTTAAATATTAAATAAAATTTAAAACATAATATTCTCTATTTTCCTTTTCCCTTTTTAAATCAAGTAACGAATAATAAATAAAAATGATCTAATACTTGAAAACGGAAAAAGGTTTTTTTGTCTCTTAATCCCCTCCCTACTAACGCTTTTCCTTTTTCGACGTAAATTTTCCCTGAATGACATTGCGCATAAGCTCCTCGTGTATGATGCAATTCCGGGGAGACGTTGCTTGGCGACGAAATTGTACGCTATTCGTAAGCATTAACGCGGAAGTTAAACTTGTATGCGTCGCACCGCGACGAAGTCAGCTTTTTGTCCGTCGCGGTGCTCTTCGCTAACGGAACCGCGCGCATGTAAGCAAACCCGAGCCGCGAGGGGGCCCCATCGCCGCGTGGGTCAGCTTATTTCCCCCTCCACTCCTTAAATTTTGTTGCTTTTCGCGTATTCTCGTGATTATTAAGCGTCGTTTTTCTTTTTACTTTTGAAGTCACGCACGGGAAATCGAATTGATCATTTTGCAAAATGGACGTACGCTGAAAACATCCCTGGACTTCGATCGTGTGCGGACCGACCGATTGCGGGAAAATGATTTTCGTAAAGAGTTTTCTCCAACATTTGCCACTCATGTCCGACATGAATTTTAAGAGAGTTTTATTTTATTACGCGGAGTGGCAAGAAGCCTATCGTCAGTTACAATTCGACTCTCGTGTAAAAGTGGACGAAGAACAGAGCAGGGGAAGCGACAGCGGTAAAGCGGCGATAAAGAAGAATATAATTGAATTTCGCGAGGGTTTACCTCGTCCGGAAGATTACTCGAACGATCCGTTTTCTCCAAAATTGGTGATAATCGATGATCTTATGACAAAATCGTCGTCGAGCGACGCAATCGTTGATCTTTTTACTAAAGGCAGTCATCACAAGAATCTCAACGTTATTCTTATCTCGCAGAATCTCTTCCATCAGGATCGTGGACAGCTTGATATATCTCTCAATGCGAATTACATCGTAATTTTCAAAAATCCACGTGATCGCACTCAAATTCGTAATTTAGCGCGCCAAGTCTATCCCGACGATCCGAAATTTTTAGAAGAGGCATACTATGACGCTCGAGGCCTCACGACTATTTGCTGCTCGATCTGAAACAATCAACCCCGGACGAGTATCGATTTCGAGCGTGTATTTTTCCCGAAGATACTCATTACGTCTACGTGTCACGTAGATCATTTTCGAACGGATTCGTATAAAAGACGAGCACGGGTGATAGTACCAGTCAGTCGTATGTTTTTCTCACGATGAAGACGAGTGACAAGAAATCGCACAGTGCGACGAAAATCGCCACACATTTGATCAGTAAAAGAAACACCTGTCTTCTCGCGGCCCTCTATCATCTGAACAAAAATCAACGCACGACCTTCCTACGCGCCGCGGACGAAAAACTTATCCGTTGTATCTGCGAATGTGTTTTTAATACACTCAAAGGTAACGTCTCGCTCGAAAGTTGTGAAAAAAATCGGCTAACCAAATTCAAAACGCCTCTGCGTCGTATCGTTGCAAAACGTGGTAATAGAAAGGATAAAAGAAAGCTGTTGGTGCAGCGAGGCGGATTTTTACCTTATATTATCGGGCCTATATTATCGACCTTATTATCGCTAATTATCTTAGGAACGAAATAATGGGATAAAACGTTATGGAGAGGGCAAAAAAAATGGTTTAATTTCGACGGAAAATCTCGAGAGAATGCAACATCAGCTACGTCAGAATCCGACATCATTCGCTGACGGAGAGTCAAAAGAAATCGCAGTACCGCAAAATTCGGATAACACAGCGAGCACTAATAGCACAGGGCAAACTCCCAGAACACATATAACACGACTCGATGCAGAGATGGGTTGTATTCTTAATTCTGACTGGCCACGCGACGAAAGTGAGAGATGGAAAATGTACAGAGAGGCATTATGGCGATACCTACGATTTATCCAAGAAACGCGAAGGCAGAAAGACGCCCGCAGCGAAAACGAAAATGCAGAAGACAACGCTACACGAGATGGCTCCACTGATAACGAGACGACGAATGATGAAGTTTTTTACGATCTCAAGCAAACATCCGATATACCGCCAGCACATTCCACCAGTAATACCGATATTATTACGAAAAATTTTGAAAATTCGAACGAGCATAATCATGCGAAGAATAATCATGCGATGAAAAGCATTGAGAAAATAGTGAAAAGCGTACCGAAATCTTATCGTAAGCATGCACACTTACTGATGAAACATTTGATTCGAAATACCATGCCTGATAGGAATAGTTGGGACGAGCATGGAACCGTGACTATAGATGGCAACGTCGTGAAAGAGTCGAATATCACTGACTTGATAAACGACGCAATGCGCGAGAGAAAAACTGTGAAAGCAGTAAGTATAAATCAGTTCGCGCGATTAATCCGTGCGTTGAACATACCTTCTGCGCTGGTGAGGAACAAAAAAGATTATTGTCCTCGCACGGTGTTAGTGTAAACAGCGTAAAACTTCGACCTCGGGCGAGTTCCACGCCTTTTATATCGAAAGCGCAAGTTCCACGCCGATTGTATCGAGAGAAAAGAAAAAAACGTAAAAATTACGAACAAGAAACAGACGAGGAAAGTTCGATGATTTCTCGTACACAAAAAACTGATACCCCCACATCTCTACAAACGGGAAAAAATCATTTACTCGGTTGGAAAAAACTAAAATAATATGATGGAGTTTGAAAAATTATACTATAATACGATCCGTCGCATAACGCGGGCTATTCGGCGGTGGATAATCTAACTCGTGCTGTTAAACCGAATTTCTCACGGGGAGAAGTCGCGCGCTGGCTCGAATCGCAAGACGCGTACACGTTGCACCGACCATTGCGTAGAAAATTTCCACGATTGCATTACAACGTAACAAACATCGACGATGTGTGAGAGGCAGATTTGATCGAACTCTGAAATCTAAAAAGTTACAATGACGGTTATTCATATTTGTTAGTGATTATCGATGTACTAAGTAAATACGTATGGGTAGAACCGTTACGCGACAAAACGAGTAACTGCGCAATAAAAGCTTTTCAACGTGTACTAGCGAAAAGCGAAGGACGAGTACCCGTATACCTGCAAACGGACAAGGGTAAAGAATTTGTCGCGCAATCAATGCAGAAATTTCTTAAAACAACCAACATTCGGGTAACGCGCAATTCAGACGTCAAAGCCGCCATCGTCGAGCGCTTCAACAGAACACTGAACGAATGTGGCGTTATTTTACGCAAAAATACGCGACGCTACATTGATGTTCTGCAGGACATTGTACACGCTTACAATCACACGCATCACTCGTCCACGAGAATGCAACCTGCGGTAGTAACGAGAGAAAACGCACGTATCGTTCGTGAAAATATAGCTCGTCGTTGGAAAAACGAAACGTTAAAGAAACGGGTGCGAAAAGTTAAATATCGCGTCGGAGATCACGTTCGTATCAGTAGAGCGAAAGGTGCCTTCGAGAAAGAATACGAGGCTAAGTGGAGCGAGGAGATATTTCAAATTTACCGTGTTCTCGATTGGCGAAACCCTCACGTGTACGAACTGCGAGATTTAGCAGGCGAAGTGATAGACTGTATTTTTTATGAGCAAGAATTAGCTCGAGTTGAGAAAAACATAGAAGAAGAACAATTTATCGTCGATCGCGTGATAAAGAGTAGAGGACGAGGAGCTAATAAGCAAGTGCTTGTTAGTTGGCGCCGTTATCTCAGTAAGTTTGATAGTTGGATTCCGGCTTCGAGTTTAATTTCTCTTCGCGATGAATGAGGAAAAATTTTTTCTGGTACTTCCGAGTAACAGCAGTATGTGTCATTTTCCGGATAATACAACTTTGTCCTTCATCACGGAATTACCTCACTCTATACGTCCGTGTTACACGGACAATGGGAGGTTGCGATAACCGATATTCAATTTCCCTGTACCTTTTTACACATACGTCATAACGAAAATGTGATCAGATTCGTCGATGTTAAACCCGATGAGAGGACGAAAGGTGCGTTTACGGCGAAAGAAAGTACATTTCCAAATGGAATTTACAGCGATATCTATGAGCTTATTGATGCGATTAATACCGAGTGTAAACTTGCCGAATCGCATTTTTATTTTGAACTGAAAAAAGCGTCTGGCAGTAAAGTCTTTTGATGAGTAATAACTGCGTTGAGAAGTGCAAAATGCTACATCATATAAACTTTTCAGATAATCTTCTAAGAATACTAAGTTTCTCATCAGCACTTTCCGCAAATCACCCATTTTATTCTAAGCTCGCGATACGTAAACCTAATTTCAATGAAACAGAAGAGAAAACTTTTCTTACTAACGGATTTGATAAGGAGATGGGATAACGACTTGCAGACGGTTATTGGAGTAACAAACCCTATAGTTTGTGGCGCGGTATCCCTGATAAAATGTTCGTTTATTGCGGTATTTATGAGCCTTATATAACAGGTGATGTACGTACTCCTCTTCTCAGGATAGTTCCGGTCGAGATACGCAGTCATAATTACGCATTTGGTGCAAATTTGGTGAAGCATTTCTCATTTCCAAATTATATCCCATTGCGACGAACGAATTTCAGAACGATCGAAATAGATATAAGAGATCATCTTGGAAAAAAATTCCATTCGAATTCGGAACGCTGACAGTGACGCTGCATTTTAAACGTAAGCAATAACTTTTCTTTCGTATACGCAAACGTGTCGGTATAGCGACAGTCTTTAGTTAGAAACTAGCTATGGAGTATGAGGAGTATTTTGATGCGCGGGACATGGTTGGCCGAGGTGGAATTCCACGTGTTTTCGTCGGTTCGCCCTATCAACGCGGACATGGAATCGGAAGCTTTCTCGGTGGTCTATTCAGAAAAATATTACCTTACCTAGGTAAAGGTGCACGTGCCGTCGGAAAAGAAGCTTTACGTGCGGGAATTAACGTAATAGAAGACGTCGAAAATAATAAGCCGTTGAAGGAAGCGGTCAAAAGTCGGCTCGCGGAATCTAGGGGTAATCTGAAGAGAAAAGCCAAAGAAAATATAAGTTCCCTGATGAGGAGGTCGGGATATAAAGTATCCGCAAAGTCCGCAGCACTTCAGTTTCCATTCGGAGGTCGGAATAGTCGTATCGTGCTTCGTAAACGACGTCGGGCGGTAAAAAAAAATCATCGAGAAGTAGCACAGGGAAGGACTTGACGGTTTTTCATTTTCACTTTCACTCTCACTCAACGCGCCCTCTCCCTCATCAATCGTAGCGCGGGCAGCCATGGAGCGAACCAATCGTAGTGTGGGCAGCCATGGAGCGAACCAATCGAAACGCGCCATTTAATTACCTCATTACTCCACCCTCGCGTCACCAACCAGTCAGAGCGCTCCCTTTTTCCAGACAGGCCCCTCTAGTCGTCTAAGGGGAAGTGGAGGAGGATTTGTTTTGAAGACTATGGGGGGAAGAGGGGGTTTGTTTTAACGCCAGGGGCGGAGTGGTGGGGGTTTGTTTTAACGCTCCATGGCTGCCCACATATTACTGATGAGATAACGCAATTTTGTCATAACGTTTTGAATAATATTTTGAAGGATAATTAAATGTGTAACTACTACTTTGATTAGAAGGGAAAATGTCTTTGAATGAATTGGGATATAAAATTACATATAACAAGAATTAAAGTCATTTGGATCGAAATAGGAAGATTCTTCAATAGGAATACAAAGATATATGATAAATGTCCCAGTGGCCGGACATTTAAATGTAAGTTGTCGTAAGTAATACAATTTATAATATATTAGAGGATTTTTAATATAAATATTTGTATTCATTTAGAAACTCAGGACTCCCTTAAGCAAGGAAAAATTATTCGAATCCACTTATAAAAATTATTAATTAAAATATTTAAATAAATAATAGAATGCATTAATGTATTAGTGGCCGACTACCCCTAGTCGGTTGGACACCAAGACGTAATTGTCCCAATGTCCGACCACAATAAGAAAATTAGTAAGCTGACGGGAAATATTAATATAAATAGATGTTTAATGACAAAAGACAACTAATTTAAATTGATCTTTAAGGTAAAAAGCATTTGAAACTAATATTAATTTAAATAAATAAAGTTTTGTGTAACTGTCTGGATACAGTATCTGGGATAGGTACTGTCCGGTCCCAGCGACTGGACACGTACCTATGTCCTTTTTTTATTTACTTTACTTAAGTTTTATTGTACAAAAGATAAAAGTAGTATCACTTGGATCATATTCTTTTTTTGTTTGGATTGACAGTATGGAATTTAACTTGATGGTAGTTGTTGATATCAAATCTTTTATATGAATGATCCCAGCAAACACAAATATATAACTATTATATTGCTTCCATATAACGGAATATAACAGATAATATAATGTATGCATAACATTTTACGTCCATGTTAGTTGTAATTTCCCACGAATCATTGCAGCTATATAATATAAATATAACATGTAACTTGAGATGTTATATAATAGTCATATAATAGTAATATAATTTGCTATGTTATCATTATAAAACTAGAATGTGACTGTTATGTTGTTATATATGTCGCAGCCTTTTTGCGAAATTAGCCTTTTTACGAAAAGGCTAGCCTTTACTCAAAATAGCACCTTTTTGTGAAATCAACGATTGTTCCTCAATTATGCTGACGCACTTTAGACTTTTCGTGAAAAGGCTAACTCACACCAGCCTTATTGGTTAATGATACACGTTCTGCAAAAAAGCTAACAAAACGTCTAGCCTTTTTGCGTAAATTCTAGATTCTAGGCTTTACGTAAAAAAGCTAGATGTTTCGTTAGCCTTTTTGTAAAAAATGTATTATTAACCAATCTAGGCCCTAGAACAATAATAGTAACTATCAAATAAAAGCAAAGGGCATAGCGGATGTTACATCCCGATAAAGTCCTCTCTTTCGTTATTATAAGTATATAATTTATACCTTATTTTTATCTTATCTCTAGGTTAGTATTTCGTCTTGGTCTTGATATTTCGTCCCTATTTTATCTTTATTTCGAAACCGAAAATTCATTGTTTCTTTTATAGGGGGGTATATTTAAATTGAAAAATATTTAGAGAGAGAGAGAGAGAGAGAGAGAGAGAGAGAGAGAGAGAGAGACAATTGGGGTATATTTAGTTCCTTTATTTAAACATTCAAACCAACAGATAGATCACGTTATGTGACTTTATGCGTCACACAGATTATCTACTCTAAAGAATACTCTAAGAATATTCCACGATCTTTTTTAAAGAAGTCTTTCTATAAAATAATAAATAAAAGCGTATATTAACATTATATTAGTGATAATGTATGTTACATTAGCGTTTAGCAATTAAGTAATTAACAGCAAAATAGAAATCTTCCTGAATGCGAGGACGAATACCTTTTCCTCCTTTTTTTTTCTTTTTTCCAATAAAATTAAACCAATTTTAGATGTATAATTCAGAATGTAATAGATTCGCCTCGCATAAGGATGTTAGTTAAGGAAAACCGAATTTTTATTATAAATTATTAAAACTCTCAACTATTACCTATTAAGATTAAACCTGTAGAGTGGGGAGTAGGGCTTACGCGGAGCCTTGCTGCCTTCACCCAAAAAAAATAATTTTAATATTAGCAGAAACCGCTAAATCTTAGAGGATTTTATTCTTATATACGGCCTCATGAGGAATCTTCTAAAATCAAGAGGAAAATATGCTAAGCACAATATTCTTACAGTTAGAGTATTTTAGTTTTGTATCTGCAGTAAAAATCTTGCTGTTCTTAATATGAATTTCCTCTTGTACACAGCTTAATATTCTTATAGTTAGAGTAATTTCGTCTTGCATCTGCAGTACAAATTTTATTGTTCTTAATATCAATTTCCTCTTGTATATAGATTATTTAATATTGTTTTAAGAGATATTATGTATATTTTTGAGAAACTTTAATTAAAGAGTATTCACTTCAAAGATACCACAGGATTTGACGTCTATCGCCATGTTGTGATCCATTGTTAATGTCAATATTTCATGAACGGCTTGGTTTACGAAACGTTAGCATTAGCAATGGATCACGACATAACGACGATAACTCGCAAATCCTTTGGCATTTTTGAAGATGTTATCTTTACTGCATTTTTTTCAAATAAAAATACCTACATCATATCGATAACAAGCAATGCACTGCGTGATAAATAGTACTTACGCTCAAATGTGGATCAGTACTTCTCTAAGCTGATCATTTCTAAGAATCCTTCAACTTCACTCATTATGAAACAATTCAAATTATAAATGATGTAACACAATACAACATGATGTAACACGATGTATATTGTATACTATAATACGCGCCAAACGGCCAAAAAGCAGTGACAGGCAGCGACACACACATTGCTTTTCATGTTACTCGTAAGAGGCTTTAAGTAAACGTATTCCTCTTAATATAAGAGGAAAACTGTTAGAATAATCTCAATACATTTTTGATGAGTAGTCCAGTGCATTGGAAGAGAAATACTCTTTCTGTAAAAGTTTCTGTTTAGAATATGAGGTTACCGGAAATTTCACTTTACAATTAGGTTATCTTTTTTTGGGTGTTATCTTAAGGAAACAAGCGCGAGTATAGGTTTTACCTTAAATTTTGAGGAGTATTGATTGATCCTGAAACGACACTCCCACATTCATTTCCAAAATATAAAAGGAGCTGCCAAAAGCAGTCATCAGTCAGTAA